AGATCTGTCCAAGGCCTCCAACCCCAAGATCCAGCACGACATCCTGAACTCCACCACCATCAACCACTGACTCTCCCGCTCTGAGGGTCACAAAATTCAAATAAAAACCAAACCTGCTCCGGGACGGAGGAGGGTCACTACTGTTCACTGCTTTTAGCTTTTATGGATAAATGAAGGTATTTATATTCAGTGTAAAGTGAGGGAGGAAGATGATGTTGTGAACTGAAGGTGCTGTCCATTCCAAATGAAAATATAAATGAACACTACCTTTGTTCTTGGATGTCTACGGCAGTATATTAGGGCACATGTAGATGGGGAGGAAAAAAGTAAATTTTCTGTCAAAAACTCAGAAATTTTCTAGAAAAAAATATGGAAATTTCTGAGTTTTTTTTGTTGTCAATTTTCTGAGATTTAATCTCAAAATCCGACTTTCATTCTAGCACATTTTCAACTTTCCCAACTCAGAAATTTTTTTTTCTGGAAAATGTTTGTGTCATTGTAGATGTCTGCCAGTTATTCAGATGTATAAAGTATTTTCTATTATAAACTGCTCAATTCTTCATATTATTTAGATGAACTAGCATTAAGCTTTCTGATGTTATGCAGACAGGGGTTACAGTCTAAATGTATTATAAATGCGGTGCACTTTTTGTTGAATGTGTTGCAATTTGTATAATTTTGTGCTCACACTGTTCTTTTTTTCTCCAAATCAGTTTTTGTAATTGTGTGCATTTATGTGTGTACCTACTCTTTCCTGATGATTTTAGGCCATTAAGGCTGTTGATGCAGCACAGAAATAACTCATGGCTTCAGTATCATGGCTGATTTGGAAAAAGTTTGTCAAAATATAATAAATGCTTTTTTCAATAAATTACTGGATGTCAGTTTTGTAGATTTGTGAACTGAATCATCAAACCTCCCACTGGTTCTGTCAGGAGGAACGAGCCAAAACCCGAGCTAAGAAACCGTCAGGTCAGACTCTTGTCCATAAATAAAGAGGAAACGGTGTTACCTCAGCTGTGACTTCACAAATAAAGCCAACACTGTAGGACCAGCAAATCGCTTCATATTTAAATTCTGTGGGTTCGCTTAAAAATATTTTTTTTTCCTGCTTGAACATTTTTCTGGCTTTTCGGAAATAGAAATAACTGATCGAAAACAGACAGCTTAGTCTGATTTATTGCCGGAACAGTTTTTCTTTTGTAGCGTTTGTAAATTTAACTGTAGGTTTGGACTTTTATGTAAATGTGCATTAATCTAAGTTATTCCACTTTAGCTGTAGATGTATGTTAAGGGTCGTCCCCTTGAACCTTAAGTCTTTTCAGTTTATAGCACAGGTTTAAAACCAGAGGCCTGGGTGTGAAATCTGGCCCACCAAAAGCAAAAGAAAAGATGAATGCAATACAAACTGCTAAATCAAATATTAACTGAATTATTTAGTTCAGAGATGTTTAAACGTTAAACATGTCTGAACATGGTCATGGTCTGAAAGTAGTTTCAGACCATGAACATTACATTGTTCTTAAATTTATTAAAAGTGCAAAAAACAATTTTGCACCTTATTTTTGCTTTACTTGCTCAAAATTAAAAACATTTAATCAGAGAAAAAGTTTTTAGACGTTTTTATTGCCGAAATTGGAATGTAAAAATTGTCTTGCATGTCTGCCCAGTTGAATTAAAAATAGTTCTTTATCTGAATTTCTTTTTTGTATTTTCCGTAAAAAGAACAGGATATAGGTCAGATTTTCTTTTAAAACTCTTGCTTTATTCACCCAAGTCTGTTTTTAAGCAAAAGTAACTAAATAATTGTGATCGTATTTTTTATAGATCAAAAATATGAAAAAGCTGAAGTTAGTTTTCAATCTCTTTCTTTATTTTTCTTTATTTATTTTTCTAAGTCATCTGGGTTTATTTTAAAAGGGTTGACTCCGGAAGTTGAACGCCGGAGGGTTACCGGAAATAAACACGCAGCGGTGTAACACACCATGTGTCCGGGCTGTAGTTCTAAAACTTTCATGGTGTAGTAATGCAGAGTTGACCGTGTTTAGAAGCAGTTGGTCGTTCTTCAGAGCTCCACCATGTCCGGAGCGTTAGCCAGGCTGCTCTTCTACCCGACTCTGGCCTACAATGTTCTCATGGAGAAGGTTTCCTCCAGGAGGTGGTTCGACCGGGTCGACGAGACGGTCATTCTGGGGGCGCTGCCGTTCAGGTCCATGACCAAACAGGTCAGAACACCGATGAGCAAAACTTAAAAAAAAAAAAAAGTAGCTACATACATTCAATAGCAAACTCATATTTACAGATTAATTACACACAGATTTTTATTTGAGCAGATAATTATGAACTCTTGCTTGTTGTTTGTGTTGTGTTGCAGCTGGTGGAGACAGAAAATGTCCGGGGAGTTGTCACCATGAATGAAACGTATGAAACCAAATATTTCTGCAACTCGGCCGAGGTGAGTGGGATCCGTTAGTGAAAGATTAAAGCATGTTACTAAAAACATTTCTGTGCTGTGCTTTAAAAATAAGAGCCCTGGATCAGCCTGAGAACTGACTTCTGTATTTAAGGTAAAAATGTTTCAGACGTGAGGCGCGGAGTGTAAGGATCTGATGTTTGGGAGCAGGAGTGGCGACATGCAGGCGTGGAGCAGCTGAGGCTGAGCACCGTGGACCTGACCGGAGTCCCCAGCCTGCAGAACCTCCATCAGGGGGTGGAGTTCGCCCTGCAGCACAGGCTGCAGGGGACCAGCGTCTACGTCCACTGCAAGGCAGGCCGTTCCCGCAGCGCCACGCTGGTGGCTGCGTACCTCATCCGGGTCAGTACGAAACATCAGAGAAATATTGTTAAATTTAACTCTAGATGGCAGAAGCAGGAAAATACAAACCTATAATACAAACATTACGAAACAGCCTCCTTCCCAGTCTGAAGGGCAGTTTGTGTTTGAATAATATGGCTAGGTATTTGAATGAAGACAATATAACTAGTTTTGGTTCTGTTAAAGGTGACCCTTTGTGCTTCTCTAAACAGGTTAGGATTGATCTATCTGCTATGCAAAACATGTTCATTACATTTTTTGCATAAAAACCATTCTTAGATGACAAGATTTTAGTCTGTTCAGTTCTGATGTCGAACTCCTTTCAGAATGAGGTGTTTTAGGGCATCTGCCACTTTAAATCCAAATTTAAATGAAAATGGATGCAAACAGATGCACAATTATACAAACGTACATCTTTGAAAAGCATTAGTAAAGCCTCCTGCATGACAAACAAGAATGCAGAAAGTGGTTTCTGGATGGTAGGTCAGCAACAAACACTTGTCTATTCCAGCAGCCATTGTACAGCAGATACAACGGTAAAACCAGCTGATCAAATGTGCTAAGGTTTTTGGCACAGCTCATTTTCCAGACACCAAATGTATATATATGTATATATATATATACATACATATATATATATATATATATATATATATAATTTTTTTTTTTTGTAGAGGTGCTGTTTTTAGAAGAATTTAGAATTTTACATAATGGGTCTCCTTTAAGCAGAAATATGATGTTGCATATACAAATATGACTGCATTCATTCCTGTAGTTCATATATTTCTCCCCATCAAGTCAGGAGAGTTTCTTTCAGCTTGTGGTCTCAGGATGCAGCCAGAATAAAAATATTTCAGACATTTTTTGTTTCACTGTTTATTTTGGTAAACATCTGAGGTGTTTTTTCTCCTGACAGCTCCACAGCTGGACTCCAGAGGAAGCCTGTCAGCGGCTGGCGTCCATCAGGCCGCACATCCTGGTGCGCTCGGCTCAACTGGAGATGCTCAGGAAATACTACCAGGATGTGTGTGGAGCTTCCAGCTGAGAGACCGGCCTGACGGCGGGTCAAACATTCACATTCAGGATGAAAACTGGACTGAGAGAAGGTGTTGCTGTTGTTTTCACACAATCTGAAAGTTCTCCATTTTCACCTGTTTTTGTATTTGCTGTAAAGTCAGATTTTTGTGTGTTTTACGTGGAAATTGTTTGTTTTTGCAATTAAAATTACAATTCTGTTTTGTGACTCATTTGCTTTTTACTTTCAACTGAAAAGTGGAACAATACTATGGAAAATGGAATTAGTAATTTACTACAACAGGTATTTTACACCCTTGAAAAGTTTTATTTTATCATTATATTTGTTAAAAGATTGAAAAATAAAGCAGATGAAGGTTAATAAATATTTGTAACAAAAGTACTGACCTGTTTTTTGTTGTCTTCATTTAATGCTTTACTTGGAAAATTGACCAGTCAGAATGTTTTTAAAATGCATATTCAAACCACAATATTCCTTAAAATGAGCACATTGAGTTAATCAGACCCCACATTTTCATTATCCTGTCTGAGAGCAGATTCAAGGTTTAAACAACTCGCATAACTAGTTGATTTGTTCTGAAACTGTTGGATGACAGTAATTTAATATTTTTTCCTGATTAACTATAAGAACATTATTTACAGTTTTGCACCTAAGCATTTTGTTTAAAATGCAACCTTTAGTGGAATCAAGTACAACTCATTTCAAGCACTTAAGTTTGTTTTGAATCCAAAATTGGATGAAACATCTTGTACGTCTGTTTGTTCATTCAAAATGACGCCATAGTATTTGAACAATATTTTGTTTTTGTCCTTTAGGTCCATGTGTTTCTTATTTTTAGGTGACATTGTGAAAAAGGAAAAGCCATGGGCCCACCTTAAATTTCACATATATCCCATGTTGTTCAAGGAGCTTAACTAAATGAAGAATAAACATGTTTTAACTAAAAATGCAGCAGACACAAACCTACAGTTTATGTTGAAGTGAGACTTCTTGTTTGTGCAAAAGCTTTGCTGATTAATTTCTGGGATGGCTACTTCTTACTTTATTTGCGAAAAAAATATATTAAAGTTCTTCTGGCCTTAAGTAAAATTTCTGGTTAGCCACTTGTTTATGAATTGTAATTCACTTGCCTGCGTTTTCTCCTCCCGGCCTTTAGGGGGCGACTCAGAGTCTGTTTATCTAACGGGCAGCAGCAGAGTGTAAACATGGCGGCGTCGCTAGTAAGGTTTGTCCGTGGAGGTTTCGGACGGAGCTTTAATCGTAAGTTGACTTGAGAACTAATTTATGAACGGAGTCTGTGTGCTGTTGTAGTTTCCATCAGGCTGCATTATTTAATGTGTTAATTTGATTGCCAAGTTTTGTTTTTAATCGCTAAATCTCCGACTGACCTTCGATCTAGCTAACGCTATACCTAAACATATATTTGTAGGTTCGCTATTGTAACAGATCAGAGTGCTCAGACACATCAGTGGGGATGTATTTATCGGTTTTACGTGCCATCAGTGTTATAGTTTGATTTTCCCTGTTCTTCCTCCAGTTGCCCGGACTTCTTGTCTCCTGCCGCAGCAGATCAGAGCACAGAGCTCCACCACTGAGACCAGCCGTGAGTATCAACACTCAGAACATAACGATGCAGCGAGCAGACAAAACGCAAAGCCTTATTCTGCGATATTAAATCTTTGACTGAGACACACATTAAGCTTGATATTGGTTTATTTACTGGTACAGCATTTCCTACCTCTAAGTTCAGGTTAATAAATTCGTTTCGGATATTTTTTTTTAAAGTTTTTATTCAGTTCCAGTTCACACCTTCATACAACTTGTTGAATTTCAAGTGAACTAAGATATCTACATTAGAAACTAGACCAGAAATATTTGGTAAGATTTTGTGTTTTTTTTACAGTGAAACTGCAGGTTTGTATCTGGATATAAAATCTAAATAATTCCAATCTCAGAGAGTTTCAGGTTAAAATCCAGCAGTTTAGAGGCAGGTCAATAACTTTCCAGCAGATTTATTACCTCTGCTTCTGTTTGCTGCTGTCATCAGCCTCAGTTTAGTGATTTTTGCTTGGATGAATAAAAAACCTGACTGAGTTAAGCTTAGATGTCTCTAAGATTGAAACAAAAAGATGTTAAGATTAAGCTAACAATAAGTCAGCACAGATGTTTTGCTGTAACTTATCCAACAATAACCATAAAGTTTTTCTCCCCTGTGTGAGCAGCCACAGTCAGGCCTAAGGATGCCGTCACCCACAACCAGCTGGCGGCGTTTGGAGAATACGTGGCTGAAATGATGCCAAAATACATCCAGCAGGTTCAGGTCAGTCCAGGCTCATCACAGAGCTGCTTACAGACCACAGATTCACTCAGAACGCTCTGCAGGTTTCAAACTGATTCATAAAAATAATGAATGAAAATGGTTTTTTTTTTTTCTGCTTTAGGTGACGTGTTACAACGAGCTGGAGGTGATGATCCATCCGGACGGGGTCGTCCCGGTGCTGACCTTCCTCAAAGACCACACCAACGCTCAGTTCAGGAACATGATCGACCTCACCGCTGTGGACGTCCCGTCACGGCAGAACCGCTTCGAGGTAGCCGCTCACCCACACACACCTCACACCACAATATTCAGATTAACTTTATTTAATCTGAATGGAATGAAGGACATTACAGCAGGAAAGGCTTGGTGTGTGAGAATAAGAGACACGAGAAGAACAGGTGGACGGATACTTCTGGGCTCAGCAGGAAGCTAAAGAGTGGAGGCAGGTTGGATTGGTAGGAACCAGTTAGTGGTAATGAGTGACAGGGTGGCGGACGGAGAACTTGATGAGATCTGCTGTGATGTACGATTTGGAGACGGTTGCGCTGACTCAAAGTCATGAGGGAGGGCTGATGGGGTTGGGATTTTTATTGGCTGTGATCAAAACCGACCAAACAGTTCAGGTTAAACTGTTTGGAGATTTTAGCTACATTCAAACTTTATAATCAAAACTATATTATTGTTCTTGAATCATTTTTAAACCAGCTGGTGTTTTTACATATTTTTTTTCTTATGGATGTGATAAATATTTATTTTTATGATAAATGTTTACTGTAAATCACACTACTTTTATCTACACATTAAAATCTGTCATAAATCATGTGTTTTTATGCATTTTACTTGTATTTTTATCCCTTACTTCAACCTGCTGAGGGACTACAGATGAAAATTAAATAAATCTGACATTCATGTTTATTAATATGTTTTGTCTCTGAGCACACTCTCTACGTGTGACGTCATTGCGCCCTCTACTGCAATGAGGACACTTTCAGGTTGTTTGCAGTTCACACTGGAGATCACATACAAGTTGCAAATATTTGGAAATGTGAACAATCACCATCAAAAAAGAAAATTAGATTTCATAAAAAGTCAGAGCAGCATTAAGGCTAACAGTGAACAGAGCCACAAATAGAACTGGTTTGGACCTGAGCAGAGAAAGTATTGAATAAATGTTGGATGTGGATCTGCTGGGTAAGATGAAGACCTCAGATTGATCACCTGCTCCTGAACAGAACAGCCAAAGAAGAAGAAGAGACTAAACTGGCTGCTTCTTTATTTTAATAAGATTTTTCACGTGTTGTGGCTCTTCAATCGTTATTTTTAGTTTTAAACCTACAGCAGGTCTCACTGACACAAAATAAAAGTTTGACTGAAACTTTTTTATAAATAAATATGCAGGTTTTCTGTCATTTGATGTTGATTTCTGCAAAATTTAACAATATGACAACAAACATATTTGTTATGTAGAAAATCCAGTATGAATTATTCTTCATAGAGCTGGAAAATGACAGAAACAAATTAATAATTTCAGAAGAATTTGGTTTTCCTGTCAGGTTATATTTACCTGTGGAGAGATTCAGAGTTTTAGATATGTGAAGGTTTATTTACAGACTACAAGGTACTGAGAACAGCAGGAGTCTGTGAACTTTTTATGGTTTATTTAAACTAGTGTGTTTTTGTGCTCCTGTAATGATCTGAGCCTTCAGTTCTGGCGCGTCGTTAGGCAGAGGTTAACGATTCACATTAGAGACCCTGACATGGCTGCAGATCACTGGGTGTTTGACTAAATGTAGTTTTTTCACAGATCGTGTACAACCTGCTGTCTCTGCGCTACAACTCCCGTATTCGTGTGAAGACGTACACGGACGAGCTGACGCCGGTGGACTCCTCCGTCTCTGTCCACAAGGCCGCCAACTGGTACGAGAGGGAGGTGAGTCGCCGCGGCTTCGCTAACGCTGGAGCTCTGGAGGCGGGTCGGCGGCACTGACTGGGTCTGTGTGGGAACAGGTGTGGGACATGTACGGCGTGTTCTTTGCCAACCACCCCGACCTCAGGCGCATCCTGACCGACTACGGCTTCGAGGGTCACCCCTTCAGGAAGGACTTCCCTCTGTCCGGATACGTAGAGGTCAGTTCTGCCATCAGCACTGTAAAATAAATGAGTTAAGATGAGTTTAAGTAACTTTTCCGTTTCGCTCCACAGGTGCGCTACGACGACGAGCTGAAGCGGGTGGTGGCGGAGCCCGTGGAGCTGGCGCAGGAGTTCAGGAAGTTCGACCTGAACACGCCGTGGGAAGTGTTCCCGGCGTACCGGGAGCCCAAAGAGGCCCCGCCCAAGCTGGAGGCCCCGGCCCCCGAGGAAAAGAAGTGACGTCGCCTCTGTTCGCTCTAGTTTGATCAGTTTTCTGTTGGACGAACCCGTCTGGAATATTTATGTAAATAAAAGCTCCTATTGAAACCACCTGAACCTGTTTTTATGCTTCGAGTTGTTTTTGCTTCAGGCTCTACTGACAGCAGAGATGAAAAACTTTGGTTTTTATCTCTAGCTTATAAAAATGGTTTAGAAGAAATGTTTTTATTTCCTCTCCTTGGTGAAACTCAGCAGTGGATGTTTAATTTGTGTTTGGTTAGAAGTACATCCTTTAATTTTCACAAATGTGTATAAAATGTTATTTTTATATATATTTGAACTTTTTGACTTCAAGGGTGAAAGGATTATGATCATTGTCACAACTTTAATGATTATTAATCACAAAAATCAAACCCATGAGTTTGAATTTACTGTGAATTTTTTCAGATTTTTCCTCAAATTATAAACTCGAGCTCAACGACATTGTCAGTATTTTCCCCCTCAGATGTTTCACTTTTAGTATTGCTTTTACAAATAAATTAATTAGTTTTTTGTGACCCAAAAAGCATTTTAACATAAACAAAAATTAATTAAATAATATAAAATAAGTGATATTCACTGCCTTAAACCTGAATCAGGTTTAGATTCAGATTTAAATTCATACATTTCTCAAAGGAAACCAGCAGATTGAATCCTGTCGTCAGTTCTCCTGAGCTGCAGCTGTTTCCAGATTTAAAAGTCATTTAAGTAAAATAAATAGTAAAATAACTTTTATTTTACCAGGATAAAAACTATTTTTCAAGGAAGCAACAACAAGTAAACTAAATATCACTGTTTAGATGTACTAAATATAGAGCTGCAGTTTGGTGGCAGTCTAAATATATTTATATGTGAAAAGAAAAGCATTAAAGTTTAATGTTTCAGACATCATAATAGACATTTATTCAGTAAACTTCATTATTTGACCAGTTTTTCTATATTTGTCTTACATTTTCCATTGCATGCCCTAAAGTAGTAGTTCTTCTTCTTCTTCTTCTTAGTATTATTATTTATTATTATTATTATTATTATTATTATTATTATTATTATTAT